CTCTCTGCTCTGCGGCCGTCCTTACGATCTGGTCCTTCTTCTGTCTTCCTTCCAAGGGTGGCGGGCGAGGCGGCACGATGATACAATTGCCTTTCACGGTAGCTGCCGAGCGTGATCCGTGGCGCGTCTACGCTTCCTGTTACGGTTGATCATTACGCAAAAGAGATGCTAACATAAAAGAATAAAATCTGCCAAGTAAATTAAATGACGCGAATTTCAACGCACGTTCGCAGGTGCTTTTGCACGCGCGCTCGCATGCGCGCTCGCCTACGCGCTCGCCCTTCGAGCCGGTAGGAAGCACGAGTCCGCCGCCGACAAGTCCGCACAGTGACGGACAAAATGTCACGTCACAGGGCATAAATGCTTTTCTAAGATTTCTATTAGGTTAGAATATTCTAGTGTACTAGGTAAGCTGGGTGCAATTAATGCTGATAACGTATTGTAATATGTTGCACCAATAGAATTAAGGAGCATTTTTGTGCAAAGTACCTTGTCTGTAGCTATACCTTTCATTTGTAAATAATTTTCAAATCGCTGACGATAGTACCTGAAGCTTTCTTTCTTGGGGTCGAAATTTTCAAATGATGGTAGAAGTGTCGCATTGATTGCCGGTTGTTGTCGAGATGAGGCCACCTGATTGAGCAATTGCTGCTGGTTGTAATTTATCAGTTCGATAATGCGTTGGAATTGAGTTGCATCCATCTTAGACCGTTTCTTGGCACTACTTTATGTGTGCAATATGATGTCGAAAAATGTTTCACCTCATCGCCAAAATTGTTGTGTCGGTTATTTTGAGGATGGTATAGCAAGAGTTGTAATTAATGCGGATCTTCAGATACGACGATATTGTGCTAGTAAAAAGAAGGATTTATTATATGACTCTTCAGATACAAGGTATTATATCACGTCGTTACGTATCGCCATGAATTCCGTGTTCCGAGAGAGAGAAAAGGCAGTGGAAGAATCTAGAACAGTCTTCGAGATATGATATGTGAGAGGTAACTCGGTAGGCAAGAACGCCATCTAACGGTAGGGAAAAAAGTATCTCTCTAAATGTACAACTACCAACATAATAATCATGCTGTTAGGTTTACTGCATATTACAATACATTGATTTAATAGAAATACTGATTATTGATAATCCTTTCTAAAAAAGGAGATGTAAGTTGATAACTCGCATTTCTTGAAGAATTGTTGCCGCTTTTCCGCGATGCTGATTGGTTCTCTCGCTGCGTTAACTTCACGAGTGTCTGTCATTGCCAAAATTGTGTGTTTGACAGTTCCGTATTTGAAAATATTCTGCAAATGTCAAAAGCTCAGTAGCGCGCGCCTGTTATGTTTTAATGTTATAAATTACAAGAATAAGGATATATTTCATCCTTATTTTTGTAATTTCTAATATTACCAATAATCAGTATTTCTATTATATCAATCTATTGTAATATACAGTAAACCTGACAGTATGATGATTATGTATACACAGATATTGTTATAATCTCATCGTTCATGTAAGTGCACATTTTGATACAATTAACTTTTACAATGCCAGTATTTATATTGTAGCACTATGTTATTTAGTTTGTTGGAATATAGTGAACACCATTAACAAGATGGAGACGTGAGAACTAGCCAACATTTGACTATATTTACTGTCTTACATCGATACTTTTGACGATTGTTAGATATTCGTGACGACGTTTATAATAATTTTTTTCTGTGAATTTTAAGTTTATACCGAAGAGCATCTAAATTGGGATTAAAACGTATATTTATCTTTTTTAATAAAGTATATGTAACAACACTTACAATCTGTATTGTGGCTCTCAAAGGCTTCTCTTTAACGTATATATATGCATGTACACAGGGATGAAAAACACTTCTATGTACACTGAAATCTTTTTTGTCATGACATAAATATTATACATGAAAGTGATATTGAGAAATTAATTAGCGTATCATGTATCTGTACACATAAAAAGTATAATAATCGTTATCAAATATAATGTAGTAAGCAATTAAAAATTATAAATGAAATAGCTTCTATACGTATATCTATATACAGAATGTTTGGTTGCATTTTATAGAGAAGTAATTGACTCACAGTTTAATGTGAAATTCAAGAGCATTGTTCTT